ATAAGGACAATATAATTTTCAAGTAAAACGCATTCAATTTGAAAATTTAATACTAGTTTATATTAAGAAACGCGAAACATGTGACTGCAGTAGGTTCGAGATAATTTAATTTGCGATAACTTGTGAAAAAACTTGTGAGAAATGCGACGACGAAAGGGGAGTGGATACGCTGAAGATAGATTGATCACTAAATTTAATATCTCTTAGAACCTAACTTATGCTAAGGTGGCGAGAGACGGGGCGAATTCGCAAGAGCGAGCGGACGAAAGCTTTATTGGCTCCCGCTCTCGCCCTACAACAAGTGACTTCAAATACAAGCGCCAAGTGCGCAAATAGCGCCCCCTCTGAAGGGACGAGGTCCTTCAGCCCAGAACGGGCAACAGGGCCAGTTGGTGGACTGCTCGCCGATACACCCCCTGCTGCGTCCTGACATCCAGCAACGGGAACCTTGCTATCGGCACCGGCGTGCACCGCTACCACTCGTTGTCTTCGGCGACGACGACGAGCGCTCCCAAGACGATGTTGGGCTCCCCCTGGTGGCACTTGGACCGCTGCCAATACCTGTGCCTGAGAGACGAGATCCTCGCCATCGTCGCAAGCAGGTCAGGCTGATCTGGTCCGGGAGCGCCGCTGATGGTGGGGCCAGAAGAGGGCCGCCGATGAGCAGACGACCGGGGGTCAGGGCTTCGCCGTCGTTTGGGTCGCTGCTTAGAGCTCCGTGGGGCCTGAACCTCAACTGGCGTTGTCGCACCAAACCTTCTCCGGAATCCCGCGACTACTCACGAACCCTTGAAATGCCAACAAGAACGCTTCAGTGATTGGACCGCTTTGGACACAAAACAGACGTACAAGGCCACGTACGGTGGCTTACCACGGATACGATACGTTGTGCTGAAGGGACCACAAAAATTAACGCCACAAATATTGAACGGGCGGAGAGCTCGAAGTCTATCTGCTGCCAAGTTCTTCATAATTTGCGTCAAGAGCTGCGGCTTCGAAAGCGAAAGCAGCGCTTCGTACGGGATAGGAGCATTCAATAACCGACCCCCAACTCGTAGCAATGTCGAGGAACACCAATCTAATTTATTTTCCTAAAGAAAAAAGTTTAACTTTTGAATATTCGTTGCTACCGGTTTATTTTTCCGAATTTTACTTATGTCGTCCTTAAATTCAAGAAATTGAATAGCTTCGACAATTTTCTCAAAAGCAAAATCCAGTTCTCTTGGCAAAATACTTTTTTCAAAGGGCTTTGACACCTTTCTGCACCTTTGAGTAAAACGAAAAACCCACACGAACACTCTCAGAAGCTTCAGGTGCGACGAAAAGGACACTATTTTCTGAAGCAAATAATTTGGCTCTGGGCTGACAGAAGCGTCGCTTTAAACGTCTCCCACGATGTAAGCAACTGCATCGGTAGCGACTCGTCCCAATCTAATTTTCAAAGCCACAGTTCCTGCAACAACAAATTTGCTTTTGTGACCAAAGGACACAAGAGGCCAAGTGGGTCGAAAAGTCGAGCAGTCACCGACAAAATATTTCGCTTTGTCGCGCGAAGATCCAGAAAAGAGTCATCCAACCGAATTTGAAAGTAATCTTTAACCGGTAAGCAAACCACGCCACGTCTGAGTCTGCCATAAGTGGCATTACAGCGCGATCAGATGCGGATAACTCTGGGCAGTTTGAAAACCACTTGTCAATTTAAAGCCTGCCTCTTGCAAGACCTGAGAAACTTCGTATCGTCAACATAAAAATCATTCTGAATATCCTTTGCGGCTTTTGGATGAGTTGCTTGCGCCGTCTCTCCTAGCCGCATTAAACACCGAATCGCCAAAAAGGGTTCTGGCGAAGTTCCATATGTAAGGGTGTTCAACTTAAAGATTTTCAGGGACTCAGAAGGATCTCGTCTCCATACTATGAGCTGGAAGTTACGATCAGCCTCGTTCACCAACACTTGGCGATACATCTTTTTGACGTCGGCCGCAAGGGCAAACTTATGCAATCTAAACCGAAGCAGAGTCGAGTACAGCTCCTCTTGAATAGTTGGGCCTACCATCAAGATGTCATGCAACGCTACCTGCGTAGAAGTACGGCTCGAAAACTACTCTCAACTTAGTTGAAGTACTTTGTGGCCGTAAAACGCATTGGTGCGGAATGAAATAGTGCGGAGTATTTTGAATTTTGTCATTGGTGCCCATTGAAACATATTCCTCCATGAATACAAGATACATCTTTTTCAGCGAAGGGTCCTTTGACAATTTCCTTTCCATCGACAAAAATCTACGTTTCGCAACTTCGTATGACGAACCAAGAGTATTTGGGTCAGATTTTTCTCAAAGTGTTGTTGACAGAGTTGTTGCTCAGGAGTATGGACTTTAGCCTTGGGCGGCAAGTCCATCCATTTGCACATAATTAAAATCGAAATCAGCAATGACTTTGTCATTACGGCCCTCTCTTCCAACTCTTCGCGGTATACATATTTTTATATTTGTTATATAAACCCTGCGACAGTATATGCCGCACGCACGCACTGTAGGGGAGCTAACGCTCAAGCTCAAGCGTACCGAAAAAACGAACAAACGCTTAAGCAGACCGAAAATTCCACTGCTGCAGCCATCGAGAACGAAAACGACCTAGAATACCTCGAAATAGCGGCAGCGGTGTCGGTGTGCGTGTGTATGTGTAGGCGGCTAGCGGCTCTTCCTAGGCGAATGCTAACGGAGAATGATGCACTGACCGATAACTATGGGTAACGAATATATAAGGCTGATGCAGAAATTATGAAATGAGCGGGAAAATTGGAAAAGCGCGGGAAAATTCTGAAAAGCGCGGGAAAATGTTCAGACAATTTTGCCGAAATTTTTTGCACTTTGCACACTTGTACACTTTTCACATTTGCACTTATTTCCAGCTGTTTTTTTTTTTTTGGGAATTAAGTTCGCACTAATTGGGTCGACGACGAGTATTTTATTTGCTTGTTTATGGACCAAAGCGATTTAAATATAATTCGAAATATATTATGTTTAATGTTTACATTTAATTTTTCATAGTACTTGAATAATGACCAGTTCCTTAACAAAAGCATATGATTGTAGCGCTGGGATAAAATATTAAATAAAATTAAAATAAAAAAATTAATTATAAAACAACAAATAATTGTGGTATTTTAAGATTTATATAATAGAAATTAAGAAAATAAAAATTAACCTGGGTACATATATATTATACTAGTATAGTTGCATTACTTCAGAACGTTGGAGGTTGATGTGTTCTGTGGAAATCGGAGTTTGACAGACTTTCAACCTTCCGATTTCAGCTGATCTGAACAGCTGTATCTCGTCAAAACATTAACAAAGTAAACAGGTCAACCATCTTTGTTTATGTTCCGATGAGCCACAGCTTTTCAGATCAGCTAAAATCGATCGGTGGAAGGATGATGTGCTCTGTTGAAACCGGAGTTTAAATTTTTTTAAAATTCCCAATCTAGTTTCAAGGATGGTCTGTGTGGAAAAAAGGTTACGCCGCAGTAACATCGGTAAACTATGACCGTCAAAGTCCGCCAAATTTTAACGACGGACTAACTGGGAAATTTTTGGAACGTCAAAACCTTCAGGAGCTCCCGTACAATTGATGGTGGAAGGGCGATGGATCTCTGTGGAAATAGGCTATTAGGAACGTAAATTCCACTACCAATATTTTTCAATATTCTCTCAAATGCCCAAACATAATAAATTTCGTTGGATTTTTATCTTATTTGTGAATTTAAAAAATTGTTTCGTGTGCATAATATCTAATTCACTTCACAATATTTATTGGCGGAACGATGAGAAAATGGTGAAAAGGTAAACCTCAAATTCAATTTTAAAAAAACAATGGATATTTTAGTGGATGAGGCTAGTATTTTGGCCAATTAATAATTACATATTCTAAATTTTTCATATTTTTTCTAAGTTCTGGTTAAATTTCACTTTGTTTTTAGCACTCGATAGAAGAAGAAATTGGCGGAAGACGGTGGCAATTTGAATTGGAGTTAATAAAAATTTAAATTGAATGTTATTTGGTGATGGGACCAAAATATACTAAATATACTGGGTGAAACAGCACAAGATAGGAACAGCAGACATTGACGTTGTAATATTTCGGGACGGCAAGCTAATATGGAATTTCATTAACGGTAGACGGTAAACAGTAGACGGAGGCTAATGTGAATTGGCTACTATAGCCTCTACCCACAGAGACATATCCACCATCCGTTGAACATATGGTCCATAAGGTTTTGCCGTTCCGAAAATTTCCCAGTTAGTACGCCGTGAAAATTTGACGGACTTTAACCTTATAATTTTTGCGATGGCTAGCCGATGTTTTTTCGGTGCAATCCTCCTCCTCTTCGAAGTTTCACATATGTCAAAAATCCCAACTGTTTCCAACGGATGGACTGTGTGGAAAGAGGGCAATATATGACGCAGTATTTTAATATTTGACGGAGTATGACGGACTAATATATGCGATAAATTACCCAAGTTTTCTCTGTGTAACCATCTACCCTTTCAGTCAACCCTAAAAACCATTGGGATTTTTTGAATGTGTGAAACTAAGATTTCCACAGAGCTTATCCGCCATCCTATAACAGCTGATCTGAACAGCTGCGTTAGAACCTGAAGGCTTTATTTACACTTTGATATATGCAATAGTTGGCCGAGTTTTTTGTCGGTGCAACCTCGTCACACGCAGTCCACCCCTTGAAAACCGTTGGAAGTTTTGAAAAGTGTGAAATTCTCATGTGGTGGATGTGCTCTGTGGAAATCGGAGTTTCAGTTGTGTCAAAAATTCGAAACGTTTCCTACGGGTGGACTGTGAGTAAAGACGCCATTACATTTCTTACATAAAAAATATTTTCCAACTGTGCCTTTTGAGTGTGCCATGTGTGATTTGGGTATTAGCTTTTTAGAGCTGCATGTATTCCAAATATCAAGTGGGTGACATTTATCGACTTATCGGCTATTTGTGAAATTAAATTAGTAGATCTAAACAAAAATAAACTTGTGGCTCTCCATATTTTGATAATAAATGTGCTAAGTGTAATCAACTTATCTTCAACTGTACAAGTTTGTACATCTTAAACGGCCAATATAAGTTAAGGCCTTCTTAAATATGTGAACTTTTGACCTTCCCAAGTATTAGTTTGTTATTGTTTGTTAACTTAACGGGCTGTATATATTCGTACATTTGTAGATAAAGTCATAACCCAAAATGTTTTTTAAATGTAAAAATATAATTAAAAACCCTAAAAATGTACATTGTTTGTCAATAACATCAAAAATGACCACAAATTTATTGTGATTGATAGCTTTCAAACTGATTGTGACAAATTAAAGTTATTTATTTACGCTACCATATTTTCTTTTGATGGTCCTTTGCTGGACCGTCGCATAATTTTAAAATAATACATATATATACAAGTGCTTTCTTATATACCCATATGTACATATATGTAACATACATATGTACACATTGTAACCAATAAACAGTATTACTAGAACTTTAATAGAATCAACCCGAAAAAATACAAACCTACTCGAGTCAGATTGTCATTAAAGATGGGGGACCGTGACTTCCCGACCGTACCTGTTACAACATTATCCGGCTTAACCAGCACGTCTGATTGTAAGTCATTTCTGGGCCACAAATAAATACGTTTCCAAGTGACAATATATTTTGTACTTGACGATTAATTTTTTTGTAGCTATTTGGCATAACAACACAATTATGGTTCCCTCTAGTTATTTAGACAATTATCTTTCAAGATCACACTTTTAAAAAATGTAAGGCCAAATATTTAATTTTTTATTAAGAGGATAAAAATAATGTTACTTTCTTAAGAGTTTCACGGTTTCAATAAATTTATTTTTTTTTTGTTATCTTATTAAATTCTATAAAATCTCTGATACAAGTTTTAAAGTTGATCCGAGTGATAGTTTTGGAAATACTGCTTTGAAAAGTTATGCCCTCGCTTCCTACTTTTATTGTCATTCTCCTTGAGCGAAAATTTTTGTTTCTCAATTTAAAAAAATGTTCAACAAAATAAGCATTTTTTTTTAAATGTCTGTCAGAAATACAATTTTATTTTTTTTCCTTCGTCCAATACCTAGTTTATCGTATTTTTTGTTTTCGACTTCTGATGATCCTGCAAAAACTCTTGCTCTTAAAGGGGAGATAACTTTTCCAAGAGACTGATGGAAATGATGGCGTTTTAGCCTAGCTTTGAATATTTTTAAATCTTTATTGAATATGTATTTAAAAAAACAAAAAATTTATATAAATATATATATATATATATATATATATATATATATATATATAAAATATATTTGCACCACTTAATTAGGACACTTTGACTTAAATCCATTTAAGAATATTTCAATCCTTCCAAAGAACAATATAAATTAAATAAGAAATCAATAACAAAAAATAATAATTTTACCTATTTGAGCTATGACGTAACTGCTCCTGTTTTTTTTTTTTTTTTTTTTCAGCGCGGATTTTTTTTTTCTCCGACTCAGATAATTTTAATTTATTTAATTTAAGTGCTTAGGCTAACCAAAATTTGTGTACACGTACCAACGATACCGATCAAATAAAATACATGTAATAAAGCAAAAATTAAATGGAATGCTCACATGAAGTGCAAACAACTTTATAACGGCTTGCACAAAAATAATAGTGTATATACAAAATACCGTAAAGAAAGCATAGAGGCTTTCCTATTCAAGTGGCGAGCGTAATTGTTCTTAAAGTAATAGTGTGCTTTTTTTATCCAGCGCTTAAGTAGGTCACTCAAAGTGTTCGATTGGATTAAAGTTCGGTGATTGAGGTGTCGTTTTCAGCTGATTTGGCACTTAATATAACAGATTTGGATCATTATCCTGTTGGAAACAAAACGATGTCCAATTTACAAAAATGTTTGGCCTAACATTATTTAAAAACAAGAAAGAATGCAAACTTCGGCAAGTCGAAGTTCATATATTCTTGCAGCTATTTCAAAAATTAAATATTCTTGAAAAATTAAAATTATGATTTTCTTGCGTATATGTACAAAAGCATTGCAGCTATGATGATTTACAGCTCAATTATTCGATAGATTCCGATTTTTATAGAATAAAAAGCGTAATTCTGAGCTGTCAATTTATTAACAAGTCAAAAATTTTTTTTTTTTTGTTTTAATGGGAGTTATTTGATATAGTCGTCCGATTTTGATGAAATTTAAACCGTAAATCTGAAATATTTAACCATCAAAGAATTAAAAAAAAATTTAAAAACAGCAAAATTATAATAAACAGAAAGAATTAAAAAAAAATTTAAAAACAGCAAAATTATAATTTTTGTTATTTATTTTTACGATTGTTCCTATGGGAGCTATATGCTATAGTCGTCCGATCCGGCTCGTTCCGAATTATATACTACCTGCAATAGAAAGTTGTTTTTGGGAAAGTATCAGATAGCTTTAAAACTGAGGGACTAGTTTGCGTAGAAACGGACGGGCAGACGGACATGGCTAGATCGACTCTATTAGTGCTGCTGATAAAGAATATATATACTTTATAGGGTCCGAAATGTCTCCTTCACTGCGTTGCAAACTTCTGATTGAAATTATAATACCCTCTGCAAGCGTATAATGTGAGTTTCAAAAACAACTGTCTAATTCACTAGAAGAAAACATTTTTTTTTATAATGTCAAATAGTTTCAAAGTAAATCAATGTCAAATATAGCAATTTTGATTTTGTCATGGTATACGCATAGTTATTCGAGCAAGTGTATCTACAATCACCGTTTTATTCTTGATTCAAGTGCTGAGCGAGTTGCCTGTGTCGGATTCGCTTCATAGTGCAGCATCTTTAAATAAGTCTCTACTGTTCCATGCGTTAGTGGCCAATGAATCGAACCATTTACTTTCTGTCCGTGATGAAAATCTAGTGCGTCAATTAGTAAATGCAATTGAAAGAACGAACTCTGACCATATGTAAGTAGGGTTAAGTGGACTAAAAATTAAAACTAATTTAATGTATGTTGCAGAGAGCTAAAATCAATATATACTATTGAAGAACCAGGAGCTACCATTAGTACTTATCCTGAGCTACTCCAGGGAATTTATAATTTTCGTCCAGGGGTTTTTAACACTTCATTTAAGATAAGTAAGTTTAAACTCAAAAGTCAGTGCTTGTATTACATAAAGCCCACCCACAGTCTGCCCCGACCAACATACTCCAAAGGTTCGATTCGATGAAAATAAAATTAAGCTTGATTCCTACTTAATACCGAAAGTTTGTACATCAACTAACTTATCAACTTTAAGAGAAGATCTATTGCAGAATCAACACTCGCCGTCACGCAGTGATCAGTTTACCAGGTGGGAGATATACTCTACTATTGCTGACAATACTAAAATTAAAATATCGTTTCAACTTCTAGTATGGCTTCTGAAGAAATGTCAGAAGAATTTTTACAAGGAAATATTAAGGATACGCCAATCGAAAAAAGCAAAAATAACAAAGACATCACTAAGAACTTTGATCAAAATATGATTACAATATCAGAAACAAATACGTTAAGAAATAATTCAATAATTGAAAAACAGTACGTCAGAAGCCAAAAAGAATTCAGTTACGGTTCGAAACACGTTTTAAACCAAACACCAACTGACGTTCACCAATCCATTCAAAATATTTCAGAATCAGTAAATATAACTGCAGCAGACCAATTACAGAAACCTTCAAAACATTATATTACAAAAAAATCACCAAAGCAAAAAAATACCGTTTCTTATTCATACACGCAACAATTGCAAGAAGGTATAGACTCCTTTACAATCAATAAATGTACCCTTGAACATCAACAAAACCATATTGCATCAACAACTTCATCGACATCTACTTCATCAAGTGGCAAGTCTCAGGTTCGGGTATGTATAAATCGTCTTTATGTTGAGGATAGTCGTCTTATGCAACAAAGTATTAAAAAGTTTGTACAAAAGTCACCAGAACTGGCTAGAACTATGGGGTTACTTCAAGAATCGCCTCAAATACAACATGAAAACTTTATTGCGCTGCCTATGTGTACTGAATCTGTAACAGTGAGTGAAGCTGGTAGTAATAATACAGTGAACATACCAATCGACACGTTTTCAACTATAAAAGCCGATGAGAAACGAATTTCAGCGAAACGCAAATTGGCGATATCAATTGGTGACATTCCACCCGATCAAATATGTAAGTATAATTAATTAAAAGAATATTTTTATGCTAAAATGTATTATTTTCTTAAATTAATAATACATAGTTTCTCAACCTAAAATGCGTCGGGTCGAAAGAATGTTTCCCTTATCGAATACAAAATGTTTAAAGGATGAAGTAACTCGTTCGCAAACATATCAACAATTTTTGCGCAATATGGATCAAATAATTGAAATATTAGACGATAGTGAATCTCCTAATTTTGAATCAGGTATGTAAATAAGCAAGAATGAGTGCTAACTTTATTAACCCGAAGTTTACAAACCCTTTGTGACAAACTTAAAAATGATCATCCAGAGAATACTACAAAATGGTATAACAAAAATTAAAATCGTGTTAATTTAAAACGCTATGCCAATAAAAAAAACATTAAAAAAATTTAAGCGAAAATTGAATCCACGACTCAACGCGATGATACGGCTAACCGCCGGCCCAATTAATGTTCCAGTCTTTCCTATGGTATCAATATGATTAGGTCGGTCGATTTTAATATATTTAAAACCGTTGTTCTTATTATTATCTAATATGACTTTTAGGTCTGTTCTAGTTTTCTCTCGGAAGTGAAACATTGACAGGATTTTCCCTTAACATAAAAAACTTTCCCTTGACTGTTAATATTTCCTGAGGGCAGTTCCCTTTTGAAGATAAATAAAACAACTAACTGCCGCTACTGATCTTAAGAAATGCTTATGTTTTGTCTTAACTTTTCCTGCAAAGGACAGATCATTTATGAAAAATATTGTCCATCGTTATACGGCACAGAAGTGTTTGGCAAGGGTGTTCATTGAGCAGCCATCAAATCTTCGTCTTCAACCTTTTTCAGCTGTCGGGACATTCTTTGTTTTCCAAGTAAAAATTTCCATTTTTAAACCCCGGAAACCACATTCTATAAGTTTACTCAGACATAGATATTTACCGTTAACAGTCCCTAATATACGATGCCTTTCCCCGGTACTTTTCGTTATGTTGAAGTAATGAAGTAACACTTCCCGCAAAAAAAATGTTTAGGCACGAACTTCGGTTTGAAACGCCATACATTTCAATACCTAGTACAAGCTCAAATTTGTATTTACCCACTGCATTTATCGATTTACTTAATTCTATTTTTTTTTTTTTTAATTTAGTTTAAATGTTTTTTACTTTAGATTTCAACGTGTATAATTACGTTACACGTAGAGTAAAAGGGTATATTCTTGATAAGGACCAATAGCCGAGTCAATCTATCTGTGTCCGTCAGTATGAACGTCGTGAACTTGGAAACTATAAAACTAGATTTTGGGATTTGACATGCAGATTCCAATTCCAGTAAGTTTATTTCAAAACACTTTTTAAAGCCCACAAATCGTGAAAGTCTGCCATGTCACTCTGAGACATGTCGTTAGGTTATGAGCATGTTTTGCGGTCTTATCTATCGGTAGACACAAAAATGTTCAACATCGATCTATTATTTTAGAAGTTATTGAAGTTATTTATCCTCTGCCGCTGCTCTACCTTCAAAGCACTACTTTAAGGGGTGGGGGTGCTGCTCTCTTTAAGCTTCTGTGGGCAATGCTCTTCGACAGGTCTCCATTTTCGAAGTTCAGAATTTTGTTGTGGTGTTGAACTGGGTAGACTGTAATCTTTTTACATACTAGCCTAGAACTAGGAAATTTAATGAGGAAAAATTTCTACTAAACTTATGTTAGTGGGCTTTCTGTTTATAAATTCGTTTATATCGCTGTTATCTTAGATGGCTCGGCTCACAATGTTAAGTTCGGCAAGGCCCATCAAAATATTTTCTAAGTCTGTGATCACAATTCTGTTTTTTGCAAGGATGATTTATAAAAGGTGTTTCTTCGTCTCTGTCTTTTAATTTAGATTGCCCTTCATCGGCGTTTATTAATTGTGCCTGATTGAATTTTTTTTTCTCAGTCATCAATGTCGGGAGTTCCAGCAATAACCTTGAGTGCTGTTCCGATTAGGTTAATGCTTCTGGCACCCCTGTGATGGGTTTTCAGGGTAGCGACCAGCTTCGACTGTTTCCTCTGACCATAATGGGGACAGTTTGCTTTTAGGAAGACCTTGTCCCCGACCTGATAAAATTTATGAGTTCTGTTCAAGGGACCTTTCCTATCTATCTATTTCTTGTCCGTTACTGTGTGTATCGTTCTTTTGTTTTTATGAGTTGCTAATAAAATCGTTTCTGTAGTGTCATTTATTTATTTTCGAGTTTCAGGCATCTAGTTATTTCTACCTAACCATTGGAAGTGCTGTGTAAGGTGGTGTGTTTGAGATGCAAATGTTAAAATTATTAAGCAGAATTTTGTGACCTCTCGTTGTCACAGTAAATAGTTTTTATTTTCGTAAAAAATGTATTATATTTAGTAATGGGGCTTTTACATCTACGATGACCCTAGAAGTATTTTTTTGCATTTGGCGAATTTTGAAAATTTTTTTATGCATGTGAGAAACAGGTTTCCGTCCGTCGAAAATATAGCGATGTTAAGTATTTCCCTTACATAAGAGGGTATTAATGTTTGTCCGACCGTCTGTTTAGTGGGGTGGCGATTATTTTTAGTCATAGAGCAGATTCTGCAATTTGGGGTTATCTCTCTTGATAACCTGAGCATTTTAAGAAAAAAATAACCTCTTAGGATTCACATTTTCTTGAGCAGCGCGATGTGCTCTATTATGTTCTGTAATTATGACCTAGGTTGGATTATAATAGGGCGATCTAGATGTCATTATGATGCCGTGCTCTAGAAGTTGTTTAACCTCTGAGTTTACGAATTCTGTCGCTGTCGTACCATCGTGCGGAGCGAGTGGTTTGTTCGGCGACAGCGGCTTCTGCTGGCGGGTGCTGTACCCTCGTGCGGGTGAGGGGTTTGGAAGGCGACAGCGGCTTCTGCTGACGGTTGTCGTACCCTCGTGTGGGACTAGGGATTTGGTCGGTGGCTTGGATGGAGGTGGAGGGGTAAGCTGCTGGGTTTCACAGTCTTTTTTAATGTTTTTTTATTTAATAATACCATTTCCGTCTGTTGTTGCACTATCGTTTTCACATAGTGGGTGATTTTAAAATTTTTCGCAATTGCAGTATGATTTTGTTAGCTTTTTTTTATTTTAAACTCCGACGCCTGCACGGTTTTTCCATCTTTTGGGTGTGACTTTTTTAATTCGCGTTCGCTTAATGATTGCAGTACGAGCAAAAGAATTAAAATTTTTCGCTTGTTAATTTATTTATTTGACGATTTATTTTAATTTTTATTTATTGGACTCCTTTTACTTAGTTGGGTGCCAATTTACGAGTTCTGTTTGGGATCCACTTTATAAAATGTATTATCCTTAACTCTTTCGGGTGAAGGCTATATTTAATAGATTACAAATAATTACAATTATTTGGGCGCAAGCGTTAGCAGTGTAAATCAAGCCACCGTATCCGGTGCGCAATTTGGCAGTTTTTCTGCACTTGAGTTGATTGTCTTGTTAACTTATATAAAAGTACTAAAAGCCTAGCTTATCGAGGGTTGGCAAAGACTGGTCGAACTCGCAATGAGCGAGAGAAAACTTTATTGTGCTCCAGCCTTCGCCCTAAACTAACTTCAAGTAAACTTCATGCAATCGACTTCAAATAACTTTAAATATTAATAATAAGGGAATCAAAACTCAAATGAGCAAACAGTGTTGAAGCTCGTTGCCCGGGCCAAACTACTAGCTTGTCTGGTTTGCGCACTGAGGCTCGGTACCACTCAGTTTCAGCCATTTGATTCTGTTCCCAAGTAGGTGGCAAAGCGATATTTAGTTTTTTTCCGAACTCATATCAAATGTATTGCTCAAAAGATTTTTCCCCATTTTTGTTGCGCTTCAGATGATTCCTCAATGTGCTTCTAGGCTCATAAAGGTCCTTTGCTGCTGTTTTTACAGGCAAGTTCTTGTTCCTACAATGGGTTCCTATTGGCGCTTTCTTTCTGTTGCAGTTGTGTTTCATTGCGTGTCATTAATAATTAAAAATGTATACAATTAAATTCGTCTTTTGAGCAAGGAAAATAAAAAATATATATAAAAAAGGGGGTGAATTTAATTTTTAAAAAAAAATTATTTTTAAAACTAAGATGACCGCGAAAAAAAAAAATGAAGCAAAGAGTACTTAAATAATAACCGCGTGACGCAAAATTAATTCGTTATTTTTCGTCAAATACGTTACCCAAACGAAATTTAGTGCGAGCACTAAGTTACTTTTCAACAATTAAAATGCATTTAATATTCTTACTCAATTATCAAGGTCTACTATGCTGTAACGGCGGACCAAAGGCCAACCATGACAATAAACCAATTTCCATACTAACTTTTCTTTCCAAAGTTACTGAAAACTTTATGACTGTACAGATTAAATGTTTCCTAGAAAGCAACTCCTTGGGGATAAACCGACGTTTTGATAAAATTTAAACAATAATTCTAAAATATTTAACCATTGCTATATGTCGAAGAACTGAACAAAAAATTAAAAAACAGAAAAGTTATAATTTTTTTTCATTTATTTTTCGGATTGTTCCTATGGGTGCTATATGCTATAGTCGTCCGATTTTGATGAAATTTAAACCGTAAATCGGAAATATTTAACCATTACTACATGTCGAAGAACTAAACAAAAAATTAAAAATCAGCAAAGTTATAATTTTTTTCATTTATTTATCCGATTGTTCCTATGGGAGCTATATGCTATAGTCGTCCGATCCGGCTCGTTCCGACTTATATACTATTTTCTAATATTTGAGCTGCAAATCATCAAGCTTCAATGTTTTTCAACATATACGCAATTAAATCGTAATTTCAATGTTTTCAAAAATTTTTAATTCTTGCAATAACTGCAAGGGTATATGAACTTCGGCTTGCCGAAGTTTGCTTTCTTTCTTGTTTTGAGTTGGTTTTGTATTATAATTTTGTCCGGGTCTTTTGGGCTCAGGCGCCGGTGCTGGTCATCTCACAGGCTGATTAATGCTGATTTTTTTTTTTTTTTTTGGTTTTGTTTTATTGTTTCTGTTGTCCGGGCCTTTTGGACTCAGGCGGCTCCGGTGCTGGTCATCTCACAGGCAGATTAATTTTGATTTATAAATTTTGATTTGTAAAATTTTTGTTTACATGTTTGTTCACTTTACTCGCGCACATGTCACGGTCGCAATGTAATAAATAGTTTTTTAATATTTATTTTTAGTCTTTATTAATTGAATCTCACTT